TGTTGAGGTCGATGGGNCCGTGGGCATTGATGTGGTCGTCGTGNTTGTGGTCGTCGTGTGTGAAGCATTCACTCTGAACTTCTCACATAGCTGAAGCCAAGAGGGAAGGAGGAGGCAAGAATGGGTGGATCTGGGATCAACACCCATAAGTGAGCAATGAGCAGTTACAAGATACTCAGCTGGCCCAACATGATTATGCATATTGTAGGAAGTACAGATATACAAAGCACTACATGTAGTGCAAGAGGATGGCAAGACTGCTGACAAGATGGTGGTTCAAGACAAAAGATCAATATATTATGTAAGATATCCAAATCTAGCTATATACCATTGTTTGACTATGGCCTCTGGGCATTCCCTTCCAATCCTATATCACAACAGGAATCAACAGAAATTGAACACTAGAACTTCTGGTTAATTAATTTTGGACCCTGAATCTCCTTCTTTAGGTCAGACAAATAGAATTGTAGCACTAAATCTTTGACTAAACAAGGGCATAAGGCATACGACTAGTTACTTACTAATGCATGGACTTATTTATTTCAATCAGATTCAGAGACATTAGATTCTGCATGTTGTTCATCCAAACCCAAGTCTTCATTATCACTTTTAGTCTCCTGAGACTTTGCTTTGTGTTTCTGTTGAGTGAGGACATATTTTGTGTGATAAAACAACATTACATGTAAAAACCAGTTGAAATTTCCAGGTTTCATGTGTTTGAGAAGCTCAAATCCACCCAGCCATGCATTCAATTGTTCACATATTGTAGTATATTCAGTAGAGCTACATAAATCTATTCTATTACATTCTGAAGTCACCTTATACTGATAGCTTCATATTCTTTCAAAATTCAGAAGTCAAATTTAAATAGAAATCAAATTTTAATGTATTTCAATTATAACATAAAATACATTTTACAACAGTGTATACTAAAGGAAGGGGGAGGCACAGGGAAGGGGGGAGGATGGAAGGGGGAGGAAGAAGATAGGCAAAGAGAGGCACACACAAGGAAGGGGGAAGGGACAGAGAAAGGGAAGGGGGGATGGACAAGGAAGGGGGAGAGAAAAGGGAGGGGGAGAGAAAAGGGAGGGGGAGAGAAAAGGGAGGGGGAGAGAAAAGGGAGGGGGAGAGAAAAGGGAGGGGGAGAGAAAAGGGAGGGGGAGAGAAAAGGGAGGGGGAGAGAAAAGGGAGGGGGAGAGAAAAGGGAGGGGGAGAGAAAAGGGGGGATGGAAAGGGAGGGGAGGAGGGACAGGGAAGAGGGTGGGTCGTCGTCGTCCACTGATGTGCTCGTCGTCGTCTGTTGATGTGGGTGTCGTCGTCCTCCGCTGATGTGCTTGTCATCCGTTGACGTGGGTGTCGTCGTTGTCCGTTGACGTGGTGGCGGTCCGTTGATGTGGTGTGGCGGGTCGTCCATGGGCATGGTCGTGGTGGTTGTGTGTTGGCGTGGTGGTGCGCTGGTGTGCTGTCCGTCCCTCGTCGTGGGCGTGGTGTTAGCGAGCTGGGTTGGGACGAGTTTGGGGGGGGTGCTCACCTAGGATGACGAACGACGATTCCGTCGTTCATCGTCTGGTTGCCACGTCGCTGATAGCGATGTGGCAATGTGTTGCCGCACTCGTTTACTGGGGTTGTTGATGTGGCGTCAAGGCGTCATCTCCCATATCGTGGCCGTCATTGTTGTCTCATCGTGGCTGGTGTGCGTGGTGGTGGATGTTGGCGACGTGGTGTGTAGGCGTCGGTGATGGTGGTGGTGGTTGAAAGAGATGGCGTTGTTTGTTGATGATGTCCAAATCAAACGTTGGCAAACACCGACGTTTGATTTGGGCATCAGGAATTCCGTTCCAGTCTCGTTCCGTGAGCATTCCTTCCGGGTGATCACCAGAATCATTCCGGCGGAATTTGAATTCCATTCAAAATTCCGCGGAATTGTTTGATCAATTTGGCAGGGCCCTCTGCCAAATTTGATTCCTCCGGAATTCCAGGAATTCCCTGGATTCCGCCGGATTCCGGCAGGAATCAGTGGAGGACAATAAAGACCTCAACTGATGCTCAATGTCTTCATCCTCTGTAATAAAGAACAGTACTGTTAGATACACTCAAATAGCAATTCAAACAAGCTTACCAGACATAAGAATGGCCATATTGATAGCTTCCCACTCTTCCCTTGACCACTCCTGCAGGGCTGTTCGCTCTCATTTGATTCTAGCCATCTCTTCTGCACATCTCTTGGTTGTCAGCATTCCTTTGATTCCTTCACGAATCTTCTCATCCCCAAGCCAGCCAGGTATAACCTCACTTTCATTCTCATCTAATCCAACATCCTGCCAGATGTCATCATCCACATCTAGAGCAAATAAATGCTCCCGATTGATTGGCACAGGGGCTATAGAATTGCCAGGGGCCTTTCCCTGCTGGATTTGCTTTGTCATATCATAGCACATGTCATTGTACTTCTTTGCCAATCTAGCAATTGTTGGTTGCTGCCTATTGACTTGTTTCTGGACATGTGAATGTAATTTAGTCTCTATTAAAATAGAAGTCAACAAAGAGTGAGTGGTCTGTGTTAGATAAACTCCTTACCATTGGAAGTTGTTTGTCGATATGCTCTCTCTAACCTTTCCAATTCAAATTTTCGATTTCTTAAACGATCTCTGAGTCTTTGTTTAAGAGCCCTGGCATTAAGTTTCAATTGAAGAAACGCGAAGACGAGGAAGATCAAATTATGGGTCATGTGGCAATGGCAAGAACAATAATGAGGCCGACATGACAAAAAAGTCCGAGAAACATGGTATGACTGTACAAAATTACGAAGAGGGCAGGGCGGACATCACTGAATCTGCAAAGCTAACTGGCTCTGGGCGTGCAAGAGAACGACAAGGAAGGCGACAAGGGATGATGGGTGCACGACCAAAGTTGTCAAAGAAAGACTGGCAGTAGAAGCTCGTACACGCTTCTTCCAGTGCCTGAACATGTGCCTCTATCAGTAGGTGGCTAGCATCCTTAATTGAATCTGGGCAACCCTTCCATGGACACATCAACCTCCCAAGCTCCACAAGATGACGGTTCCGTTCTTCCAGATCAAATGATGTCAAACCCAAGTCGCGATTGGGGATTTCCTTGATCATAAAAGATCCGAGCACATCACCTGACAAGGGAAATACCCTGAGAAGTTGCTCTGAGCGAGACCTCACCGCTTCTGCATCTGTAACACCCCACTGGCCATGGTACAATGTGTCAGCAAGGAGAGCATCTAGGCTCAAGAGTTCAAACCGGAAACTCATGTGGCAGAGTTCCCAGAGAATCTCCTGAGTGACCTCTGGCGTCAACGCCCGCTCAAGCTCCTGTGTTGTGCCCAACTGGATGGTCGTATCATAGAAGACCACCCGATCGATCAAGGTGTTTCCAAAGGGGATCTCCTCCAGGGACGAATTCGATTTCTTGACATGTTTCTTTCGGGACGAGGCACCAACTTTTTTCTGTTTCCCTTTTGTGGCAGGCTGCGGAGGCAACGGTACGGCGGTGGTATCTTCAACATCCGCTGTATAATCAATGTCATCAGCATCCAAGAAGGGTATGATTCACAAGAGGAAATTCCGCCATTGCTGGGCAGTGATAGGTGGCAGTAGCTCGGTTGCCGTTGCCAGTGTGTAAGCATGATGAGCCCGGATAGCAAGCCAAGTAGCACTGTACAAAGCCCGATTCTTGGAGTTCAAGAAAATCTCTGGTTTCCGGTATTTGTACCTGATGCGCACATCCCCTGGCTGACATCTCAAACGACGACGATTGGTATCCAAGTTTCATAAAGCATTGGCCCACATGGGAACAGGGACAGGCATGAAAGGAGAGTTGACATCAGCCACGTTCGCCTCAGCTATGCGAGGGCACTTCGAAGGTCCTGGACCACCATGACATGTTGGGTTGGGCATGACCGGTGGGAGACACATGCCTGGAAGGCAATGTGTATAATGCCTAGAGGTTCAATGAGACAACTCATTATTTTGTCTAGTATTTTCATTCATTAAGTTCCCTGTGTATTTCATTTGGTTTTTTCATTAAATGGCCTAGGTGATCTCATTAATATTGTATAAGCCCCATGCATGTTTAATAAATGTGTTTCTGCCTCTGTGGCAACTCCTGAGTGCACAGGCTGCAATTTTCAGTTCTGGTGTGACAAGAAGGGAAGTTTTGGTGAGGATGCCTGATAATTATGCTGTACTTTACCCTCCCCGGCTTAATCCATATGGAATGCATGGAAGGGGGGTGGATTCCAGGAATTCCAGATGGATTCCATGGAATGGCTGATGGACTCCATACTTTCTGGGGATGGATTCCATGGAATGGCTGATGGACTCCATACTTTCTGGAGATGGATTCCATGGAATGGCTGATGGACTCCATACTTCTTTCAGATGGAATCCATACTTTTTTAGATGGAATGCAGGACAGGTGGAGAGTGGGGGAGCAATTGGAGGAGGGGGAGCAATGGGGGAGGGTGTGATGTGGAATAATGATGAAGGGAGGGGGGGGCTCACCTGGGCTCGTCACTGTGTTCGTAGATGGGCGGCGGACATTTTCGGTGGGCGGGGGACATTGTTTCATGGGCGGTGCACGTTCTTTGTGGGCGGTACACGTTCTTCGTGGGCGGTGGGTGTTTATTTGTGGGCGGTGGATGTTTTTGGTGGGCGTGGGACGTTGTTTCGTAGGCGGTACATGTGCTTCGTGGGCGGGGGATGTTGTTTCGTGGGCAGTGTGTGTTGTTTCATGGGTGGTGGGGTTCGTTGGGGGCTGGGTTGTCCTGTAGATGGGGGTCATCGTCCAGATGGCAGGGAACCGCTGTTTCATGTTGTTTTCGTCATGGCGTGGTGTTGTTGTTGTGCTGAGATGTTCGCATGGTTGCCACATCACTGACAGCGACGTGACACCTGGTTTTGATGTTCCGCGTTGTTGTTGGAGGTTGTTTCGTGGGCGGTGGACGTCGTTTTCGTGGGCAGGGGACATTGTTTGTGGGTGGTGGGTGTTGTTCATGGGTGGTGGGCGTTGTTCATGGGTGGTGGACATCGTTTGCGGTCACTGGACGTCTGTGGGCGGTCGTTTTTGTGGGCGCTGGTCTTTGTTGGTGGGCGGTCATGGTGGTGGGCGGTTGTTGACGTTGGTGTGGTGTGGTGGTGGTTCCTCATGGCCGAGCAGATACAGCGAATGACAACCAATGTCGTCGTTTGCCGTCTGGTTGCCACGTCGCGATGTGGCACCTGTGGTTTGTGTCAAAAAGGAGAGGGTGGGGTGGTTGTTCCCACTTACCTGGGCTGGGGCCTTGTCATGTGTCGTCAGCGTCAGTGTCATTATCGTTGTTGATGTCGCAGGCGGTCATGGTTTGAGACAGTGGTGGTGGAGGGTGATGGTGGTGGTGGGAAGGAAGGAACGACATGGCAACGCTTCAGCCGCAGCTGTCATTGACACACCACGTGCCTGAAGGCGGTATATACATACCTTTAGTTTTCCATATAATAATGCCTTCATGGCTCAGTTGGCTTGAGCACTGCTCATATTCCCAAGGTTGAGAGTTCAATTCCTCTAGGTGTAAAAATTCTTTTTTTACTTAAATATAGTAAGGACACTGTATTCTAATGGTATAATGGTCATTAATTCCTTCCATGGAATCCATATGGAGTGGTGTTGGAGTCCATATGGAATTAATCATTCCATGACCATTCCATATGGAATCCATGATGTCTATGGAATAAGAAACTGGCTGGGTCCTCAGCCAACACTGATTCCATGGATTCCATGGATTCCACATGGATTCCATATGGATTATACCGGGGAAGGTAAAGACCTCTAATTATGGGGCATTTGAAGTGGTGGTGATCTTGGGAGTAAGGGGATAGTGTGATTAGGAAGAGACCGATTGGGAGGATGACTTTTTGGGTGCCTTTGCTGTGATTGTATGGGTTGGTTCAGACAGCGAGGAGGGGAGGAATGACAAAGTACACAATGGTTCAACATGCAACATGTGATGTGATAATCACTACTTAATCACAACATACATTTTGGCTGTCTAGTAGTAAGTGCACAGCCAATTCTCAAAAGATTAGATGTGAACCACAGCTGTATTTTACCTCACACTGATATGTAATATCTCACTGGGGATTCAACAGCTTCTTGTATCTCGCTTGCATGAAACAACATAGGCTTGGCCCAGCATGCAAATATATGGTATGTCTAGAATGGTTCTCCTATCATGGCACTGTGTTTGTATCACTCCAAAGCTATTATACCCCAGATACTACATTGTCCACATGCTGCTGAAATTCATTGGGAAGAGAATCCTCAGTTTTATAATCATTGTTGGCTCCATATAACTCTCAATCTGCCTTGAGGATAGCATTGAAAGCCCTACAATCAGATCAGTGACTGAATTTGAGAAAGCATAAGACATTATAACCCACTTTGAGACTTTAGCAGAGGTGTGTACAGTCTTATGGATAAAGTCAAGGCAGTTGTCAATCTGGTTCCAATACCTATCAGAGCCCTCACATTCTCTGTGAACCTTGCACTGTCCAGGTATGTCAGGCAGTGGTTGGAAAGAGAAGAAAACAATACTTGCCATGATTGCAACTTGGGTGCAAAGCTGGACAGTGGGCAGGCTCTTACCCAGCTGTCGTTTCAGGGTTTACAAAAAAAACAAGTTTCATCAGAGAGATTTGACTTAGAATAATTTCACGATTTTTGATGACAAATACAATCACTGATCCAATCATTTATTTTAAACAACACAACACTTATTTTTTTGAACCCCTCCACAATGGCTGGAATTTTACAAACGTAAACAATCAGCCACCATCGGTGACGGGGCTACTTTGGGTGCCACTGGTGGATAACCAATCAATACCGTTTGATCTGATTGAGCAGCGTGAAAAAAGTTACTGTATTCGAAATTGCATCTACTCATGGAGTCCGAGAACCATGTCTCCCTATAAATGCACAACTCTCCCGGCTCGCAAACATTGCTCTATAACGATCACATATGGCAGGAAAACCACAAAAGTATCCCTCATCATGTGGACACATACGTCCTGCTCACACTCCTTCTTCTTCTTTTCTGGCACCCGTCCTCAGTGAAAACACCAAATCACCACCATCCTATGTGAGAGCCCAGTAATGACTATCTGAGACATGTGCTTTGCTATCTTCATGGAATTTGACTACGGCGCAGGCTACAAAAGTGAAGAGTTGTGGCAGGCTGCGAGAATTATGGGATAGATCATAGCATTGTGGATAGGTTGGATATGGTAATACATATTACAAGTTACATACATAAATTTATTTAAAAGTCTTCCCCTCGTCAACGCTAATGCCGAACCCAGCCCATTCAACCCATCCTATGTGTCTCATCCTTCGTGCCTGACAGCGGCACAATCCCCTCCATCTGCCATATACGGTAAACAGCCTGCGCAGGGGTGATATTTGCTGATTGGGCGATGGCTAAGAGGGCGGGGTGGGAGAACTGTCAATGTGGTCCGAACTAGGGTTTCCTGATGACAGTTCTTAAAAAGGAAGTACCTTCGGAGTGTCAGGCAATGGTGGCTGATTGTTTACATTTGTAAAATGCCAGCCGTCGTGGAGGGGTTCAAAAAAAAATAAGAGTTGCATTGTTTAAAATAAATGATTGGATCAGTGATTGTATTTGTCATCAAAAATCGTGAAATTATTCTAAGTCAAATCTCTCTGATGAAACTTGTTTTTTTTGTAAACCCCGAAACAACAGCTGGGTAAGAGCCTGGACAGTGGGATGACAGGGCATATCTTTGATGATCTGCTGTGAGAGCGCAAATATGTTCTGGTTGGAGAGGATGCTCTGATCAATCTGTTCAATGAGGCTGCTGTCAGTAATAAAAGAGTACTCATACTGGTGTGTCACCTATGAATTTTTTGATCTTTGATTGAAGTTGAGTGAGGGCACAACTGATTTGAGTTTTCATCTTCTCCCAGCTAGCATAGTCATGCTCAATCCCAGGGGGCAGATCAAAGTGACACTTCTTAATGATATCCTGTATAGAGTGATCAATGTAAGGTTCATAGGAGGGCGAAGGTCAAACTAAGATGTGATTACAAGGAATGTTGCCTTCATAGGCACATATTTTGATGGAAAGGAGGACAGCAAGCACATAATTGTTGATGTTGGTTTATGAGCATGAGCAAATAAGTAATAGCTTGGTAATAGCAACAGGACAAGTCTTAGAGAGCTATTACTTTGAGCTGTTCAGAAATCTGGAATGGTGGTGCTGCCAACTGGAAAGTGTCCACCTTGTTCTCCACTGACAAAAGTCAAATCAACAACTTTGCCTGCTGGCCAAGGGATGTGTCCTATATATGACCCAGATGTTTAGTAGATGTCCAGGTCAAACAACACATAAATGGGCCAATAGGACTTACTAAAAGAAACTCCTCCAATTTGTTGCATTGGTCTGTTCACAGCTTCTTGCATGTAGCATGATGGAGACTGACCACTGTAATATTGCTTATTGATGCACTTCAGTCACCCATTTTAGGGTACCTATGGGGTATATGAATTCTTTGATTTAGGGGACCTTAATGGTACCCATTCCAAGGGTGGTATAAGAGCACATACCAATACCATGGTACCATGGAATGGAA